GGAGGTTTGAACTGCCTGGATAAGCTTTTCCAAGTGGCTTAAGAGTAACTGATAGAACTGAAAGTTAATTACTAAATGCTAGTTTAAGGTAAAGGGAGAAAACAACTATGATTTTGATCATCAGCTAGGTGTAGTGAGGGGACTCCTGGGACTCCTTCAGTGGATCTGTTGAAAACTACATTCATAGCTTTGCTGTTTTAAACTTGCAGCAACAGACTCAAAAGATGATAATGTTTCTACTAGAGGTGCAGTGGCTGCTGTGATGGTGATGGAATGTGGCATGGATGTCAGTGTTCTGTAGTTTTCATTTTAATTTCTAAAACAGGAAATACTGAATAATATTTTCTTTAAATGTGCCAGGGCTTCTTCATAAATTTTAAGTGTATGTAGGGGTTCCAAGATCAAAATGCTCGAGAATTGCTGGTGTAAATATCATGTCCCCCAAAAGAACCCAGTGTTGCTAGATACAAGTCAGTTATAGAACCTGGAGCAATTTGAGAATTGCCAGCTACAATCTAAATGTCTAATTATTGTGAGAATATGAAGAATTGCACAAGCCTGTGCATAAAAGTTTGTCAACTTGTTATTAAGCTGATGCTGTGTTTCTAGCTAGTAAGCTACATGACAGAATAGCAGTGCAAATCCTGATAACAGCTTATAGTGTGGGAAAGTAAGGATCAGTAGATAAAACCCTTTTGGAGAACAGTGGGTGTGTAAAGCAGCAGGGTATGTGAGCCCAGAAAGATAAGCCATCAGGAATGGCCATCTCAGGTTTTGCACTAGACACTCTCCCCTCTGCAGGGGCTGTCTTCACTGTCTTACCTTTTTACACTGTAACTTCTAGCTGTGTATTATTTTTATTTTCTGTGTATGCATGTATTGCTTGCATGTAGGTAAGTGTACCCATGTCATGCAGTGCCCACAGAGGTCAGAAGAGGCTGTCGGATCCTCTGGGGCTGGAGTTATGGACAGTTGTTAGCCTGCCATGTGGGTGCTGGGATTTGAACCCAGGTCCTCTGCAAGAACAGCCAGTGTTCTTAACCGCTGAGCCATCTCTCCAGCCCGTT